TCATCACGTAGTGGGGTGACATCTTCAGCACACTCACCCTTAATTGGGGATAGAGTGCTAACGCTCCATCTTGCAAAAACGCCTTCAAAGCCCTCATCCATGGCACGTGTTCTTGTTCTTCTACAAACTAGTCCCAATCCAACCCGAATACGTCCACAGCGTACGGGTGCATCAGAGGAGTCCCACTCTGAAGATCCTCTTCTTGTCCCGCTTGCGTGAGAGGCTCGTTCGGCACCGGCAATCCATTCCTCGGCGTTACGTCGCCAGGGACCGTGGTCTCGAGGTGCTCCCCGGCTGGGACGACACCCTCTCCGGCGTTCCTAAAGATCGTTCCTCAGGGATCCGGCGTTCCTTCCTGTGTTCGTGTTACTCCAGAACTCGGCGTTCCGAGGTCGGCCTCATCCCCCGCCTCTTCATTGAGGAGGTCGGCCATCCGGATAGCGGCTGCTCCACCGACGTTCGGTTGATGGTACAGCCTCGGCATGGTCTAGGTAGCACAAACTTACGGTAGCCCACACGATTCCCCAACATTCAATCTCCGTTGTTCCACTCGTCTTGTAAATGCAGTTCCGCTGGGAGCCCACCAACATCTTGCTAGCATACGCGATGGCTCGATCCCGTTTATTGACCTCCTGCATCAGACACGCCCCTGCCGCCAAGTGCGACGCGTCCACGTAGAGCTTAAACCGTTCCCTGAAATTAGGGTACACGAGAATAGGGGGCTTCACCAGTGCTCGTTGGAGCTGTCGGAACGCCACCTCGCAGTCGTTATTCCACAGAAACCCTACCCCCTTTTGTTTCAGGTATTCTAAAGGCGCTGCAATCGCCGCGAAGCCCGGTATATAACGCCGAAAGTAACTACTCAATCCCAGGAACGCCCTTACCATGTGTAAGTCATGCGGTCTCTCGATATTTACCACCACCTTTGCTTTCTCGGGATTAGGCAGGATTCCTGTAGGAGTCACAATGTGGCCCAGGAACGCCACCTGATTGCGTCCCCAGTGACACTTCTTCATATTCAGTTTGAATCCGGCCTTCTTGAAGCGTTCCAAGACTTGGCGCACTCGCACTAAATGAGTAGGGAAATCGTCACTAAAGACGACACAGTCGTCCATGTAGACTAGACAAACCCGCCACTTGAGATCAACGAGGACGTTCTCCATCAACCGCTCGAACGCTAAAACGGCGTTGCACAAACCAAACGGTATGACAAGCCATTCGTATAACCCAAACTTGTTCGCGAACGCCGTCTTCTCCACACTGTCTGGATCCATTGGAACGTTCCAATATCCAAAGGCGATATCCATGGTCGAGTAGAGTTTGGCGTTCCCCAGAACGTCCAAGATGTCGTCGATTAACAGTATCGGGTAGCTGTCCTTCACCATAACGGCGTTCAGCCTCCTGTAGTTGATACAGAATCGAATACCACCGTCGGGCTTCCTTATCATAAGTACGAGACTCGTCCACGGGCTCTTTGAAGGCCTGATGAAACCAAGGCCTATATATTCTTGAATCTCAGTCTCATTCAGCCTTCGAAACCCGGTACGGTGGCTGCTTGATCGGCCT